CTTGCCCTCTTCTTCTTCCTCCTCCTCCTCTTCCTCTTTCTCCTCCACCTCTTCCTTCTCCTTTTCTTCGTTCTCCTTCTTCCTCCTCCTTTTCCTTCTCTTCCTCCTTCTTCCTGTTCTCATTCTTATTCTTCTAGAGTTTCATGTAGCTCAGGCTGGCATTGAACTTGCTATGTAGCTAAGGATGACCTTGAACTCCTGATTCTTCTGCCTCCACCTCCTGAGTCCTGGGATTACAAGCCGGCACAACTATATCTGGTGTATGTGATGCTGGGAATCGAACCCCAGGGCTGTGTACATGTGAGGCAAGGACTGTAACAATTGGATGACTTCTCCAGTCCACGGCTTTATTTATTTATTTATTTATTTATTTATTTATTTGTTTCTTTGTATTTTTGAATGGTAAAATGTTCTTTAGTGAGGCTGGAGACTTGAATACTTATTGAATTCACTTTATTTTCTGATAGTTTTTATAAGCAGTGGCAAAAAATAAAACAGTGAAGCCATGGTCCTACACAGACCAGAAAAGACAATGGATGTATTAAAACATCTAAGGGTTGGTTTGTAAAAAGATAATGTTATGTCCTAAGGGGCCCCTGGGTATAATAGTTAAGATTTGGGGCCAAGGGTCTGACTGCATTTGAGATCAGGTTTTGCCACTTAGTAGCTAGCATGTCTGAGCTCTGTAGTTACTTCTCCTTGGCTCCTCTGAGCCTCAATTTTGTCACTTGTGAAGTGGGTATAATAAAACTGTCTGATAGGTAGTTGAGAAGATGGGATGAAATGCTATGGTGAATACTACAGTTGGTGGATAACTGTCATGTCTTCTTTGGCTAGTGGGGATTGAAACCATCTCCCTCTCTGGCATAGCCACTTAATAAATATTTTGTTTATTCCAGTTCCAGGGGATCCATCATAGCCAATTTTAAAGGCTGCCAGAGGAAGGCAGACTGAGCTGACCATGCTGAAACCCATGCTGCAAAACATATCCATCGCCAGTGTGAATTAGGTGGGAATTGATGTCAGTGCTCAGGTTTTGGCTCTCCTTGATGCAGGTTGACACCATTTTAGGCCATCCCCAAAATATCTCTTGGGCAGTATTAAAGTGATTTCTTTTTTTAAAAAGTTATTTAGACATTTATTTCTCATTGATGATTTTGTTCTTAATCAGAAAGTGCTGCTCAGATGTAAGACTTCAAATCTTGGTCTCCAATACTGTAGTGCCCACCGGTAGCTAAGGGAGACAACCAGCTATTGTTAAAAATGATGGATAAATTTGTTTTCTCCCCCTATCTAGAAGCCTTTGAGAGGGAACTGACACTGATTCTAACCACTCCAACAGCTATCAAAATACATGAAGGCAAATCCTGAATTCATCACTCTTGAGTCCACCCTTGGAAGACAAAAGAAAAGTGAGGAACCCAATAGAGGGATGCTTTTGGAAGTCCTTGTCAAGAAATTCCAATGGACTCTCATATGAACATTTTAAAATTGCCCTGTTCTGGCTTTTTTCTAGTTCCCTATCTAGAACTTGTAATGCTAATTACTCTTGCCTTTACTTCTTCACATCTCCTATTCAGTCAAGGACTTTCTTTCCCCATACAAGAGTTATGCAATTTGGGAGTTTAGACCCACTGAAAGGGTACCCCAATTGCCTTACCAGTTTCCCTGTTCAGCATGGAAGAAGCCAGAGTGGTCTGCATCCTGATTCCCTATCTGCAAGTTGGGTAACCTCTTCAGAGGATTATAAGACTAGGAGGTAGGAATTGGCTAGGCAGTTAGGGAAAAAAGACCCCAAAGAAAAGTAGCCAGTTTCTTGGCTAAAACTCTCACTGTTTTTGGGCCTCTTAGCAAAGTACTCCTCTCCAAAGGCCAAAAATGTCAAAAGCATTTGGGAGGTTTTATATAATGCTTAAAAGATTTTAGGGTTACCTCTTCAGAAGGGGGAATGTTAGAGTAGCCAAAAGCCCCATAAAATAATAAATAAATAAGAGAAGAAAGAGTACATGAAAGAAAGGAAAGAGAGTATCTTATCAGAAAAGAAGTATTCTCAAGATATGTGAACCAATATTTTAGCACCAACTCTTTTCCAGCAGAATCTTTACAGAATTGTAGAGAAGACTAAAAGTCCTAGATCTAGCATGCTACTGTCTTTCAGAGTGATTGTCTAATGAATTAATACATGTAAATAATTCAGTGTAGAGCTTGCTCCATAATATATGTTAAAATATCTGCTTTTACTAAGGAAAAAAAAGAATCTAAGAAGTCAATGGATGAAGTGGCATGAAACTTTTAAGACAGTACTGATGTTAAACGTTTCAAACTTTTAAGTGTTCAACTTTTGAATATCTCTGCTATAAAGTTTGAGTATACACCACTCACTGTCACTTTTTGTAGCTATACTGTCACTTTTTGTAGCTATCATAGAGCAAATAACATATTTTGTTCATATTAATACTTATAAAAAGCATGATGATCTAATCAGTGTGTTCAGAAATCATAGGTTTTGAGTAAGGAAACATAGAAAATGAGGTACTTCAAAATACAAGTGTTTCCCATATTGCTGGTTCAAATCTGGAGAGTCTTATAGTGAGTAAGTTCAATACTGAGAGACCACAGGTACTGGGGGTGGGTATGTAGTGCTGTAACCAGGGAGGCTGAGATCGCAGGATTAAAGACCAATTTACATGTACTGCAGAGATGCCATCCAATACTGGGATTTCTGTTTTCATCTCTCTACTTTCATGCCCCATGGTGTTTTTTTTTTTTTTCTAGATTTTGATTTTCTTTCTTCACTTATACAACTGGTATCCTTGACCCCAGTAAATTCCAATTGCTCACCAGGCAAACATAGTTGTTTAGGAAGTCTGTTTCATGAACATTAGACCCCAGTAAATGCTATCATGCAAGTTTTGGAAGAAAAACCTTGAATCATTAAAATTTATTTCAATACATCCTTATTGGCATTCTACAGCTATAAGAGATGTTGTAATAATAGCCAGGCGTGGTGGTGCACGACTTTAATCCCAGCTCTCAGGAGGCAGAGGCAGGCAAATCTCTGTGAATTCAAGGTCAAACTGGTCTACATAGTGACCTATAGGGCTATAGGGAGACCTTTTCTCAAAAAGAAAAAAAAAAAAAGGAGATGCTGTAATAACCCAGCCTCTTTCACTTGTGTTTATTTCCATACCACTGTCCTTCATTCTATCTCTTTGACTTATTCTATTTCACTTTCTGTTCACTACTCTTCCTACTATCCCTAGAGTAAACATAATTCCCAAACAGAAATAGAACTTAAATGAAACCCTGAGAACATTCAGTTTCAATGTTGGAGTATTTACAGTACCTACTCACTATTTGATTAGCTCAAGTCACAAAATAAACAGAAAGAATGGGTGACACTAACCTCCTTTTACTTGTAAGTTTTGCTGGAGGTAAAGACCACAATTCAGGTAATAAAACCTTTGGCAGTGTATTGTTTCATAAAGGCAACACTATTCTGTGGAAAATGAAACCTGGCAGGAAGTCAGGGGATGATGGATCTTGCTCTTCCAAACACAGGGCAACCGCCAGCAAATAACTACCGCAATGCTGGCCTTATTGCGGTTGCAATACTGGTTCTGATATTGTGCAAATAGAAACAGGGTTCTAAATCTCCACTAATTTCTGTTAGATGTGGGTTAGAAATTCAGTTGTATATTTATATACATCTGGGTTTTATTCTTTGCAATGTTGGAAGTGCTATGTAGCAATCCAGTGTTTATCATCTGTTTATCTGGTAAGATAATTTAGTGGTTATATAAAGTACAAAGAATCATTATTATCAATACCAAATCTGGTAGCTTACTTCTAGGCTTCTGTGCTTTTGGAACCAACATCTATGGAACTTAAGCAGTAATGTTTTCTTTGTACAGTGTCCTGACCTGAATAGGTTTCCTGAACCTTCTTCTTGCAGTAATAGATTTGCTCTTTTCTGATGGCCCTGGGCAACCTTGAGAAAGCATTCTTCAGCTTCCTCCTTAAGTGCTACAAGGATTTTGATGATCAGGAGAGAATCTGAAGTATGTATTTCCCACAACACAGAAGTCCCTACAGCCAGAGTCAAACATGAAGGAAGGAACATGTCCTCTTAGTCTCCTTTAAGAAATACTGTTCCTCAGCTGGCCACTAAAACAGGATGACAAATCCATTATGGGCCCCAAGGGCAGCTGTGAGAGAGAAGAGCCTATCAACATCCAATTTCATGGTATCCACACTGAAAAAAAGAGACAGATTTTTTTTTCCTTTTCACTGAATGAAACTACTCATAAATATTACAAGTTTTATGTATAGGAAACAATTTTCTTATCAGGCCTTTCAATTAGTAGCCCATTTATAAATACATATGAAACCCTTCTGTTAAGCAATTTATGACTTTGTAAATAATTCCTTTAAAACACTGGGTCTATTTGTAATTCAAGTAAGATCATTATGAAGATATTTAGAAGTCAGGATCTTTTATTACTAAGCACATTTTCATATTCATTCATTAATGTCATTCCCTCAGAGAACTTTAGTATTTTGTTCCTCCAATCCCTGTTACTGGGTTTAGAGAACATAAAAACATCTATTATAAACAAGTATAAGAATTCCTTAACCAAAAAGTCTGCAATACAAACCCAGCATAAAAAGAATGGAAAGGAATAATATCAGTATTTTTTAATCCATTGCTTGATTTTTGTCTGAATGCATGATCAAGTAGTCTTTACTTAATTCAATAAATATGTACTTAATTTTATATGCACATATTTAAATGCATATATATGTATTTACAACATGGAATGACAACATATCAAATGCTTAGATTCTGTACTAACACATATTCCTTCCTGTGAAGGAAACATATTAATATTACAAAAATAAATCATGGAGTAGCATGCAACATCTGGGGAGAGGAAAATAGGGTTGGAACAGGGAAATAAGGAACACAAAGAATGCAAAGAACAAAACTTGTCATTGACCTGATTTGTCAGAGCTGTTGCCTGTGATTGGCGTGATGGAGCAGCTGGGATTAGCCTTTGCGCTGTCCTTGGAAGAAACCATTTTGGGTTTATTTTTCGTTGCCTCTAGTGCTTTGACCTTCTTGGCATGTTTACTTCCTTTGTAGTGGGCCTCGGCCTGGCTCTACAAAGGAGAACAAATCAGGCTCATTTTTTGCTACTTACAAACACCACGATGGATGAGCATGCAGGAAAAAAATACAATCAATCCTAGGCACCACAGACATTTACAAGTCAGTACTTGACTACATTTCTGGCATTTATCTAAGAGATTTCAGCATATCAAACCTTTCTGTGTGACACAGAAGACCAGTGTCTTTGAAAACCTAGAAATTATATGAGTGTACCACAGGATCAGAGCAGAATTACAAGGAAGGTAAGGTTGGTGACCACTTTTTCCAACATTTGGCTCACAGCACCTACTCTGAGTAGCCTAACCATGCTCTCAGACAGGGGTTTCCACAACTACTGCTTGTTAGCTGAAAGCCTGTCTGCCCTGTGCTTACTTCCTTCTGGGCTCTTCTCTGAGACCAACTAGTGGGATCAAAAATGTAAGTAGGTGCTACTGAATGAAGATGGCACTCCATTTTAGAAGCATCTACAAGCACTGCATAAGCCATCTTGATGCTTCCAGTTCCAACAACAGATCGTATATGCCACAAGGGAGGGAAAGACAATCCTTGTTCCTGATCTTGGATGTGAGTCTCATGTCAAAGCAGCTGGCATTCAATTCATGTATACGCAAAGCATGTGTAGAACTTTGATACTAGAACGAAGGAAGGAAAGAGAGCGAGACAGGAGACAAAAACAAATTACAATAAATCTAGCAAACATTTAGTTAATTTACTGAAATTTGGAAAATTTTCTTCTGCCTAAACAAAGTCTTTTTGACATCTCATTTTATTGTACATAGTGACAAAAAAAATCTAAGTAAATTCACTTGAATTTCATCCTGAATAGACTTTAAAAATAGAAACATTCATTTAGTAAAAACAAAACAAGACATATTGGCTATCTTGGCTTAGTTACAAATTGAAATACATGATAAATCTTATATAAAACAAGATGAGTTTTTATTAGAGGATTTTAAACTAATTATTTTTCTTACATCAGCTTTCATTATAATCTGCATGTGTTTAAAGATGACAGAACTCAGCTTCACACATACATGAGATAACAGGTGCAAGGTACAACCATTCATGAGGGTGTGAGTTAAAATAGCAAAATGTGTATGTAATGGGCAAAACAGCAAAAACAAAAGGGGCCAGAGAAGTGGTATTAGTGGCGACTTCCTAAAGCTGGCAGCTTTTGACCTGAGATTTGCAGAAAGAGTTAAGAGGAATTTGTAAAGTGTATTTTTTTGGTGAGTGAATTTTGAGCCAGGGAAAGCACTGGTGCTGGAGTGTCAGAACAGCGGGTATGGCTTGGGAGGGGCTTACAAGGGCCACAAAGTAGGACATGTGCAGCAAGAGATCAATGAGAGCTAGGTGTGCTCCCATGTGGAGCAGGACAGCAGGGAGATGGAATTTTCCAGCAAATGCATGTACTACAAATTTCAAATTGGGAGGTTTCCTACCACAGCTATTTATTAATTTGTTGACTGAATACACAGATCAGGTAGCATGGAGAATATGTCACTATTTGGAGCTAAAAGTATGAGGGGAAAGACCAATTATGGGACCAACTCACTGGCAATTACTCAATACAAAGCATTTTTCCATCATGCCACATTTGGCTAAGCCATCTCAGGCTGGTCATGTGTGTGTGTGTGTGTGTGTGTGTGTGTGTGTGTGTGTGTGTGTGTGTGCATGTGTGTGTTGTAAAGGTTTAGTGACTTCCTGGCTTGTTTCATTCCAACTAAGACAAGGCGCATGTAGCCTGCAATCTTCTGCAACACAACCATACTTGTTCAATCAACAGAACTGGAGGCAGTGAGCACAGCTTCAATGCCAGTGTCACTTCCTTGTCACGATGGGGGATAAGTTTATGCTGAACGTGTAAGTGATGCTGGCGAAGTTGTTCTTGCTAAATGCTATAGTGTGTTGAATATGAGAAAAAGATGCAGTGAGTTAACTTTGTCTCTATACATTTACTGGCCCTTACTGGGGTGGGAGCTTGATTGTTTTCAGTGCTCTTTGACTCTACTGTGATGTTTCATGTGGGGTAGGGAGTGCATGGGAGAAAAACATGCACTGCCTTGGTAGATGTATAATCTAGGGATAGGTTTATTTTGCATTACAGCTAAAGAGATACTAATCTCTTTCCCTTTGTCACCCATGGCCTGCAGTTTTGTGCTGTCTGTAGTTCTTGCCTTCCTCAGTACCTTCCTACAATTATATTTTTAGCTCTTCATTAACTTATTATTGCTCTTACTTGGTATGCTCATAGTTTTCTTATGTTCCTTGTCAAAGTGAAAAAAATTTCAGGGAAAAAGAAGTGTAACACTATTAGACCTTTATTTTTTAATTATTTTAAAAATATTTTATTTTTTTTAATTTTATGAATATGAGTGCATTGCCTACATATATATAAGTGCACCCATGTCATTCAAGGCCTGCAGAGGTCCGAAGACGTCCATCAGATCCCCTGGAACTGGAGTTACAGATGGTTATTAGCCGACATGTGGGTGCTGGGAACCCAACCAGGGTCCTCTGCAAGAGCTGTCAGTGTTCTTAACCACTGATTCATCTCTCCAGCCCCTAGTAGACCTTTATTAACCAAGAAACATGAAGTCTGGCTAGTGTACCTCAGTAGTTATAAACTAAGAAAGTAAGAATTGAAAAATGGATAATGGAAATAATATGATGTCTAATGTCACTGAGCACCATCCCAGGCTCTGGGTGCACTGCATGAATGAGCATGTGATCCTCATGATACTCTATGAGAGGCTGTATGATCAGCCAGCACCTCACAAATGAGAAACTGCACACCAAAGGTAAATAACCCATCAACAGCCACATAGGGAGGCCAGGAAGGCATTTAATAGACACAAAATGTTCAGATGTCTATCTCTAATTATATACTCCCACAAATATCCATATAACCACACCAAATTTACACTATAACTTTGCTATAAGTGAAAAGTTACAAAGACAGCACACCAGTTTTAACAACACAGTGTGGGATTATAACCTAATACCACTGAAATTTCTATGAGTAGGAAATATTTAATTTGGGGGAAAGATAATACATTTGGCTCGATCCTTCTTAATAAGAAGCTAAGACAGTCCTACGTTTTAGTCATTATGCCAAATTTCTACAAGGTACCAGGATACTTTCTTTCTTTCTTAAAATCATTTTTTTTTTCTTTTCTTCCTTTTGTTTTTATTTTTATTTTGAGACAGGGTCTCATGTCTCACGTAGCTTAGGCTGGTCTCTACCTCACTAAGCAGCTGTGGCTGGCCTTGAACTCCTGATCTTCCTGCCTCTATTTCCCAAGTGCAGAGATTACAATCATGCACCACCATGCCTGGCTCCCAGGACACTTATTAAGGCCTTATCTTTTCAAGTACACTAAATAGTTCAGGGTTATTTAGTGCTTTGGGGATAAAGAAACATGATTCTCTAAATAAAACTTACAAGTACAAGTAATGAGTGTGATTTCCTCATTACTACTTCCTGGCATCAGAACTGAAAGTTAACAGCATCAATTAGCACTCGAGATTAAGATCCAGCTAAGTGACACCTCACTGCATGCCAAGATGGAAGGAGCTCTCCACCATGTGACTGACCCATTTTGAGTTCTGGGCAGAGGTAGGCAGAGAGGGTCCTTGGCTGCCACTGACAGGTGTTTGGGACAAAGAAGTGGACAACTGTGGAGGAGGGAGAGTGACAGGCACCACTCACATTTGGAATCCTTCCACTTCCCGGATGGTATTCTTGGTAGTGACACTTTACTATCCTTAGTACTTTATCTGAGGCAGTGTCAACAGCTTCTGCCTCCTGGGCAAATCTTCAAGTGAAACTGAGACACTGTTAAAATGGCAACAAGATAGACCTGACTTCATTAGCAAGGAAGCACCTTTATTGAGGAGTGAAAGAATTGAGGGCAAGAGCCAGAAAACACCACCAGTGACATAATCAGGCTCAGTCAACAATGGCTCTTGTATCAAAGAGACATGGTTGGCCAAGCTGACTTTCTTCACAGCCAGTGACTAATCAGCAAACCTGTGGTTGTCTAGCACTAGCAGCGGTGGAAAGCGCTGCTATGACCCCCACCTTGCAGGAATGGGGATTCAGCTTAATAGTAACGCATATGCTTTGCATGTACAATGCCCTGGGTTTGAATTTGAGCACTCAAAAAGGAGAAGGAAAAAAGTTCCTTTGGAAAATTGGCAGAACTAATGGGGGGGCGGATATATAAGCCGAGAACACCAAGAGGCACCTCTCTCATCATTTTGTACAGCTGTTGGGAAGTCACAGGATCTGTATTTGAGTGTGGACTTAACAGCACAGCCGTAAATGTGGAGCACCCACTCTTCTGCAAATAAACCCCTACCCTATGCTTTGTTAAAAATAATAATGAATAAAATATTTTTAAAAAAAGAAAAAAGAAAGAAAAATTGGCAGAACTAGAAGAAATTGCTGGATCCATCTTCCTGCCTGCCACTAAGAATTCATGGGAATCTAGGTTCATATATTTAAAAAATATTTTATTTTTTAGAATTTTATGTGTATGAGTGTATTGCCTGCATGTGTGTAAGTGCACCCTATCATGCAATGCCTACAGAGGTTAGAAGAGGGCATCAGATCCCCAGGAGCTGGAGTTATGGACAGTTGTCAACCGCCATGTGAGTGCTGGGAACTGCTGAGTCATCCCTCCAGTCCCCATATTTTAGAGACCACTCCTGTAGTTCCCAGGCAACCCACTGTTCACTGGTAGAAGAAAATATTTCATAGGAAATAACACCTTTTTTTTTCCTTCCACTAATCACCTTTGGTATCAAGTCCCTTTTACTTCCCACATCCTCCATATTTCTCAAGAACCTCATTGGTCCAAATAAAAAAGATAAAGAATGAGACAAGGTTTCATTTAAAACTAAAAATACAACCACATATTACCAATGAGAAGATCTAAAATTCATACCTGGGTTTTCCCTTTTTTCTAATTTCTACTTTAGAGAG